TTTCTTCAAATTTTGGGAGAAGGTAAGAGAAAGAAAGAGGTAACCTCCACTACCACCACCACCCCCCAAAAGAAAGAGGAAAAAAAAGAGGAGCATTGAAGTATTTTTTAAATATACAGAAAAGAACGTAAGGAAGGCCAACAAGTAACAGACAAATAGCATAGCTTTGAAAGTTACATGTCAAATTTATTATATACTTAAAAGGAAAAGCAAGTTCTATGCAATAGATAGTTCTGTGTACGATCTTTTTCTGTTGTACTTTAAATTCAGAAATGCTCATTTTAATTTGTTGTTTAGAATTTCAGAACTGAAAAAATAAAAACAAAAATGCAAGCAGCTTTTAAGACATGGAATCGAACAGAAAGTTAATTATTGCTAGAGGAACTTCCTAGATATGTCTTTCAGCAAGGAGGAAAAAAAAGCAGCAGCCATATTCTCCTGAAGAGATGAAAATTTGCATTTCTCCAAGGTAACTGCCTCCAGTTAAAGTTGTCACTATTTCACAAAAACTACTGTCAATAAATCTTAAAAGAGTCAAGTGTTTAAAAAAAAAAATAAAGCCAAACCTTAAGGTAGGAAATAAGTCACAAACATTGTGACATAACTATAGCCTAGAATTCCTGGGTCCTGGGAAAAGTGTACTGGTGTAGTGGGAAAGATCCTAGATTTAGAGTTAGAAGATCTGGGTTCAAATCCTGACACTGCCACAGACTACCTTTATAACCTTGAGAAAAGTCTTTCAACTTCTCTGTGGACAGTTTCCTCAACTCCAGAATGAGGAGGTTGGATTAAATGACCTTTAAATTCTGTCTCTTTCAGCTATAACTCTATGAATTACTGCTCAAATGGCTCTGTGAACTCACTCATCTAGGAATATAAGGCTTTAAACTACATTGACTAAAAACTTGGGAAAACCAGAAAGTATCCTGGCAACTAGCTAGATGGCGCAGTGGATAGAGTGCTGGGCCTGGAGTCAGAAAGACTTTACTTGCTGAGTTCAAATTTGGCCTCAGACACTTACTTACTAGCTGTGTTACCCCGGGCAAGTCACTTCACCCTGTTTGCCTCAGTTTTCTCCTCTGTAAAATGAGCTGGAGAAGGAAATGGCAAACTACTGCAGTATCTTTGCCAAGAAAACCCCAAATGGGGTCATGAAGAGTTGGACATGACTGAAAAACAACTAGCAATAACACCAAAAAGTCTAGCAGAAACTAGATATAGGCCAGTGTCTTGCACCTTACACCAACATAAGTTCCAAATGAGTGTTTTAGAAATAAAGGGTGACATTATAAGCAAATTAGAGGAGCATGGAAGAAATTACCTATTAGAACTATGTATAGAGGAATAGTCCATGACCAAACAAGAGAGAGAGAGATTCACAAGAGGTGAATAGACAATTTTGATTATACAAAATTAAAAAGATTTTGCACAAACAAAACCAATGCAGCTAAAGTTAAAAGAGAAGCAAGAAAGTAAGGAAAAAAGTATTTGCAGCAAGTTTCTCTGATAAGGTCTCATTTCTAAGCTACAAAGGGAATTAAGTCAAATTTATGACTCATTCTCCAATAAATAAATGGTTAAAGAGTATGACTCAAGCAGTTTGCGGAGGAAGAAAGCAAAGCTATCAACAGCCATAAGAAAAAATACTTTAAATCATTAACAGAGAAATGCAAATTTAAAAAACTCTGAGGTACTACCTCAAACTCAATTGGTAAAGCAGAGAAAAGGGGAAAATTACGAATTCTGGAAGGGCTATGGAAAAACAGGTACTTTAATTCACTGTTGATTGAGCTGTAAACTGGTCCAACCATTCTGAAAAGTAATTTGGAACTATGCCCAAAGAACTACTAGACTGTGCATATCCTTTGACCAGCAAAACTACTAGTAGGTCTGTACCCTAGAGATCAAAGAAAGGGGAAAAGGACCTATATATACAAAAATATTTATGCCAGCTCTTTTTGTGGTGGCAAAGAATTGAAAACTGAGGGGGTACCCATCCACTGGGGAATGGCTGAACAAATTATGATATGTAAATATGATAGAATACTATTGTGCTATAAGAAATGATGTGGGGGATGATTTCAGAAAAACCTAGGAAAACTTGTATAAACTGATGCAAAGTAAAATAAGCAGAACTAAGAAAACAATTTATACAATAACCACAATATTGTAAAGATAAATAACTTTGAAAGACAACTCTGATCAACACAATAACCAACCATAATTCCAAAGGTGATTGCTAGTTACCTTCAGATGGAGAACTGATGGACTCAGTGCACATTGAAGTATATTTTCTTTTCTTTCTTCTTTTTTTTTGTTTGTTTGGATATAGCTACTGTGGGAATTTGTTTTACTTGACTATACAGATTTGTAACAAGTTGTGTTTTTCTTGCCTTCTCAATGGGATGGAGAAGGGGAAAGAAAGATAGAAATGAAAGAAATCAGAACTGAAAATTAAATAAAATTGAATTTTAAAAAAATAAACTATAATAAATAAAGACTTTAATTTACATGTAAGGGTAGACCCTAGTCCCAATTAATCACTAAAAGCACATATATCTTGATTAAACCAATCAATTAATGAAAAGTCAAGTTAAAAAACATTAAGTGCCAATGTACTGGGCAAGTAAGAAACTCTGAGGATACAAAGAAAGACAGAAAATAGTCCTTGCTTTCAAGAAACTCACAGTCTAATGAAGAAGACAATATGCAAACAACTGTGTACAAAAAAGTTATATACAAAAATCAAGACTATTCCTGTTCTTCATAAATTTACTCCATAAGAACAGGGGCAGTCTTGATTTTTGTATTTTGCATTAGTTTTTCACATAGTAAGTGCTTAATAAGTGCTTTTGATTCACTTTCATTCATTCATTGACTCATTCATTTTTTTTTATTTTTAGGCAATTGGGGTTAAGGGACTTGCCCAGGGTCACACGGCTAGTAAGTGTCAAGTGTTTGGTCTGATTCCAGATTTGGACTCAGGTCCTCTGACTTCAAGGCTCCATCCACTGCACCACCTAGCTGCCCCCACTCACTCATTCTTTCAAAGCATAAAATTCAGCTTAGAATGACTTATCAACCAACAAAATAATCCACTATGACTTCAGAGGACAAGTGATGAAAAACGCTACCCACCTCCTGAAAGAGAAGTGACAGATTTTATATGCACACAGAGACATGCATTTCTGGATATGGCCAAAGTGAGCATTTGTTTTGCTTGAAGAGGTATATTTATTACAAGAGTTTTGTTCCTCTCCCCACCCCTCCAACCAAAGAATGGGAGGAGGTGGGGGCCCTCGGTGGGACAGAGAGAAAAATAAATGTTTGCTAACTGAAAAAATAAATAAATAAAAATAAAAATACCATGTTCTTTATGAGTTAGGCCCACAGCAAATATTTGTGGATTGATTGAGCAATGTGATAATCTTTTGTGAGCCTAAGGAAATATGAGCACTACTTTCAAGATTGGTCTAAGTTAAAATCAGAAATCCTGCGGCTTCACGTCCTATGAGAAAATACAGTGTGTTTCACATAACCACTGTTCTTACCCTCCAACACCATACACTGAAGTATGCAAACAGGTCAAATTCTGTTAAAACAAACACCATTACCCACGTCTCTAAATGGCACAGAGATTCTTAAGCCCCATTCAGTTGCTTACTTCAAGCAGTAGTTGATAAAATAAGAGTTCAAGACTGTAACATTTAGATATGTCATTAAAGTTCTTCATGTGGGCATTTTTATGTGATTACTTGGAATGGTATGAGTTCATCAAAATCACTACTTCCACTGCACCCTTTGGAGCGCTTCATAACCAGTTCTAAGCTTTATCTTCTGTCCAGCTCTTACCAAAAGTCGTCCATGAGCTCATCAATGCACTGGAGGCCTCCTCTTGGTTCTTTTCATTATCTCTGGGGTACCAATATAGTGTGCATGCTGCCCATCTTTTGTCTGTCTCCTGCAGTCATATGTATTCTGCATTAACTTTATTCCATTTTTATATGTATATTATCAGTAATGTGCTACCACCTGCTTACAGCCTCTCATTTATATTTATTCGTAGTTTTGACTCTGAGATCCTGGGATTCCATCATTCTTAGCTCTGTGACATCATGATGGTAGGGGATCTGGGTGGGGCCAAAATCAGGGTAGTTTTTGTTTAGTCATTTCTAACTCTTCATGAATTCATTTGGGACCGTGTTTCTTACAAGGAAACTGGAGTGGTTTGCCATTTCTTTCTCCAGCTCATTTTTACAGATGAAGAAACTGAGGTAAGCAGGGTTAAATGACTTGCCCAGAGTCACACAGCTACTGTGTCTGAGGCCAGATTTGAACTTGGGAAGGGAAGTCTTCCTGACTCCAGGCCCAGCACTCTATCCACTGCACCACCTAGCTGCTCAACATGGGGCCCAATTTCTTTTCCATCCACCACATTTGTCCAAATTGTATATATTGATGGACTAATTTGACAGGCTGTCATCTAGCTTCATGTCACAATCTGGGAAAACATAGATGTCTTCTATTTTGTTTTCCTACAGATGGGTAGACTAACTTTTTTTTTGTATTACTACAATTACACTGAGGATACTTTGTAGTCTTCCCTGGCTCAACATAATCAGTACTATCTTTTGTACATATATATGGTTATGAAGTAATGGAATGTTAGAGCCAGAAGTAATATAGATCTACCCTTTATTTTACAGAGGAAGAAACTCAGAAAGGTTAAGTGATTTGTCTAAGGTCAAAGTGTTCATTAGTGGAACAGTCAAGCACTATTCCACATGGTATGGTATTTATCTTTTGTGTGATATTTTATTTATCTCAGATTTCAGAGAAGAAAGGAACTGAGTGTATTGGCTGGAGCTGACTGGTGGCAAGGGGAATTTCTTCAAAGGAGAAAATGACTACTGGCAGGGGATGAGTCCAAGCCCTACCCTGGACTGGCAGGATTAGCAGGACATCCTCTTCGAGAATTAGAGGGCAGAACCAAGGTGAAATGTAACAATGCCTATTCAGCCACCCTGCCCAATAGAATTTATGACTCCCTCCTAGCTGATAGTAACAATAACTTATAAATTGCTGATTGTTTAAGGCTTGTCAATGCATGTTGTAAGACTTTTAGCATCTCTTTTGTGTATAGGAAATACCCATCCAATACCTGAAATAAGAATTTCAGAGTTGGAAGGGACTTCATTGGACATCTGGTTCAGCTCATAATTAAAAATGTGTATTACCTACCTGACAAAAGGAAAACCAGCCATTGCTAGAAGACGTCTTCTTCAGTGAAGGGAAACCTTTACCCCCAGAGGCAGCTTCATTTTACTTCTGGATAACTGTAATTGTTAGAGGAAGCTTTTCATTACATCAGATCAAAAGATGTCCCTTTGCAACTTCCCCTCAACTTCTGCCCTCTGGGCCAAACAGAACTTCTCCACGTGCCAACCTCTCCGGGTTTGAAGGAAATCATGTCCAGACTAAACTGTCCTCGTTCCTTCAAGCCAATTGTCATCTGGCATGGTCCATGGCAACCTAACTTTCCCCTCATCAATCCAGGCTATTTCCATGTAAACAATTATTATTAAGTGCCTATTTGCTTTAGGAAAGCAATTTAAAATTCCTTTTTGAAACCACAAATAGAAAATTTGAGCAGTTTTATAAATGTGACAGTGAAGTGCCACGTTGCAATATTTTTCCAAGGTCCGACTGAAAGAAAACATTGCTCAGACAGCCTTTGCAGTTCCTACTTTGTGCCCCGGATTGCTGGGCTTTTGGAGGGTGTTTAAAATCATCCAAAGCCATTTGTCAGGGAATCATTGGCACTTGTGAATATTCAAGCATATTCTGAGGTCATACAATTTCAAATACGTAAACAAAGAAATCTAACTAGAGAAAAGAGGAAAGACCAGAACATATGAACTGCTTGCAGTTCTGCAGCGATAATAATTGTATAAAGGGGGTTGGCCTCTTCCGCTTCCATTCAACCGGACAAAGCCTGTTAGTCTGGGGGATGCTTAATGACCCATCTGCTCAGTGGAGCTTCAGTCTTAATTCCCTGCTTAAACCTCGCCCGCCTGCCCTCACCACTGCGAACCGATTTCGTACAGCAGTTTGTGTTTTTGTTGTTTTTTTCCTACTTAGTGTGTGCTTTGTAATTATCCTTAGTTCATGCGTGTTGGCTTTTGTCCCCCAAGGCTAAAGTTAAAGCGCAGAAGTCACTGACAATCCGTCTTTTCCTAGGACAGATATTTAGTTATCTCCCTCTTAGCAGACACCGGACCCACTGTCCTCACCAGGGCCCCATTCCGAAGAGGAATGCAGGCTTGCCCAGCAGAGATGGGGCACTGGCGGAGCTGACTTAAGAGACACCTCTATGGGAAACTCCCCGCCTCGCCCCAACCTCTTAATCTCACTTTAAAGAAGGAAACTCGGGGGCTCAGCGTCGCGCCCAGTATATTCACTAGCTCCGGTTTTTTGCAGACTGGGCAGCCTCCAAGTACTCTCGGAGAGGCGTGCAGAGGTGGTCTCTTCCGAACATTATCTGTCCCAAGACCCTGACCCCAAATGCAGAGGCTCGAACAGGTGCAGAACCTCCTCCCCCCCTCCAAAGCAACAGTGCTCAATTCCATCCCAGCCTCCAGCTAGGAGAAAAGAGGCTGCTACCCGGCGATTGGCCAGGGGGGGCCCGCCCCCACGCGGGCTCAGACAGCGCCCACCGCCAGACCCCGCCCCAGCTCCCAGTAGAGCCCGGCGGGAGGATGTCTGGCTCCCGAGCCAAGAAAGGAGGAAGAGAGGGAGGGAGGGGGCGCTTCTCGGGCTCTGATTGGTCGAGGCCGCGCCGGCAGGGCGGGGCGTCCAGGCCAGAGGGGTGTGAAGGGGGCTGGCTGCTCTGCTAGTTGCATCATCCTCAGCCCTCGGCGGCCGCTTTGGGAAGCCCGGTGCGGTGCACGCCACTCTTCCAGTGCTCCAGCCCGTGCCCGGGGCCTCCTCGCCGGCCCAGCCTTGCCCGGTCTGCCCCGCACGTTCCTGCCCCGGCGCGCCCGCTAAGAAGGAAGAGGGCGAAGCTGCGTGGGCTCCCCGCTTCGCCGAACCCTTCTAACCCAGTCCTTTGGGGAAGCATCTACGGTCCTCTTTCCCAGCCGCGGTCCGGGATCGGCCCGGTAAAGTCACCCGGAGAACATGGAGAAGAGCAACGAGACCAACAGATACATTGAGGGCAAGGAACCGGCCCCGGTGCCGGGGGCGGCCGAGGGCGGCGCGCCAGGGCGGGCGCGGCGTTGCGGGGGCTTCCTGCGGCGCAACGCGCTGGTGCTGCTGACCGTGTCCGGGGTGCTGGCGGGCGCCGGGCTGGGCGCGGCGTTGCGGGGACTGGCGCTGAGCCCGGCGCAGGCCACCTACCTGGCCTTCCCCGGGGAGATGCTGCTCCGCATGCTGCGCATGGTCATCCTGCCTCTCGTGGTCTGCAGCCTGGTGTCGGGCGCGGCCAGCCTGGACGCCAGCTCCCTGGGCCGCCTGGGGGGCATTGCTGTCGCCTATTTCCTGCTGACCACGTTGGGCGCCTCGGCGCTGGCGGTCGCCCTGGCTTTCATCATCCGTCCGGGAGCCGGCGCCGGGGCCCTCCTGTCTAGCGACCTGGGGTTGGAGAGCTCAGAAACACCGCCTGTCACCAAGGAAACTGTAGATTCGTTTCTTGACCTGGTCAGGTAATCAGACTTCTTTTGGCCTTTCTTCCCATTACAGACACCCGCTTCCCCCCCCCCCCATTGGAAGACCCCGAGCCTACAGGCAGCTGAGTTTAAATTACCATTATTAGAAAGTTTCACATCTCCCCCACCTTGCCTCCACTTTACCTCCCCTCCTCATCCTAATTCTTCAGTTGGCTACAGTGACTTTTCAAAGATGCAAATTAAAAGTCACCAATCTATACATAATGTTAAACTATCTTTTGTAAATCTACACCTGGCAGGGCCTTTATCAACCAACAGAAAAGTGAAATTTCGATATCCTCCCATAAATCTTCTCAAATCCAGTTCTAACTGCTCTGTCCTTTCCCTGAAGAGGCTGACAAAGCTTCCCAGTTATACTGATGAAACAGGAGGGTGAGGATTGCTTTAGCTAAGATGAAATGCATGCTTTCCTGAGCCAAGATGTAAGAGGACGGAGGACTTGGGACCTTCTCTTGATTGTAATACCTTTTTGCCTTCCTAGGAACTGAAACAGTTTGCAGATACGTTCTGCAGAATTTGCACAGCCACCTTGTAAAGACTCAGGTTCTTTGCCTCGTTTTGGAATGGCCTTATGATTGGAGTCATAGAAGTTTACTCCCCAACAATTAAGGCTAGAGGCAGTGAAGGACCTTGTTTGTACACTGAGGTTGAATAATCTGGTACCTCCATTTCTTCATCTAGAAAATGAAATGAGTATGTGTTTTCCCACCTGATTCTTGGGGGTCGGAGAGAAAGAATATGTAAGTAGGTTGAAGGGACCGTAAGTATCCCAAGATACTGAAACTTTGAAGGTAGTGTGACAGCCTTGTGCAGTCCTTTGGGAGTATAAAAACAACTGAGTATATAGCATCTAGTAGGCAAAAATAATTAGTTAAATTAGGAAGCCAGCAGAGTCAACAAAAAGTATTTGTTGAGCACCTACTAGGTGCCTAAGTAATTGCTTTCAATCAGGAGAGAGTACTAATAACTTATTGGAGGGGAGCCCATAGGAGGGGCGAGGCAAGATACAGGGTTGGGGAACCTGTGGCCTAGGGCCTCATGTAGCCCTGTAGTGCGGCCCTTTGACCGAATCCAAACTTCACAGAACAAATCCCCTTAATAAAAGGATTTGTTCTGTAGAACTTGGACTCAGTCCAAAGGCCGAACCCGAGGACCTAGAAGGCCACATGTGGCCTCAAGGCTACAGGTTCTCTACCCCTGGGAAGATGAAGCAAAACTTCACGTAGAAGGAGGCCCCTGAGCTGTCCTTTGAAAGAAAGCTAGTGATTCTAGAAGATGAGAGGTTTTTCTAGGGTGGGGAAGACACTCACTCACTTGTGTAAAGACACAGAAAAGTCAGGAAATGTGTGTACCAGGCACTGTGGATGGCTCAGTTTGATTGGAACAGAGAAGGTACATGAGGGGAAGTAATAAGAAATGATGGGGGCAGCTAGGTGGTCCAGTGGATAGAGCACCAGCCCTGAAGTCAGGAGACCCTGAGTTCAGAACCGACCTCAGACCAAACATTTGACACTTACTAGCTGTGTGACCCTGGGCAAGTCACTTAACCCCAATTGCCTGGAAAAACAACAACAAAAAAACTACAAAGAAATGATGAAAGGTAGACAGCAGCCAGTTATGGAGGGTTCAGTTCCAGGCTAAGGATGTTATTCTAGAGGCACTAGGAGTCATTGAAGGTTTTTCAGTGGAGTTGGGGGTTACATGATCAAATCTGTGTTTTAAGACTTATCACTTTGACCGCTGTGTAGGGTATAGATTAGAGAGGGAGAAAGTGGAGGCAGGAAGGGCAATTCAGAGGCTGTTAATAAGGGGGCTATAGGGCCCTGAACTAGGGTGATTTCTCTTTCCTCCTTTATCCTGGATAAGCTCCCCCCCATCTAAAAATGGGGGGGGGAGTGAGTGTTGTGTCCCTTCTGCCCATCACCATAAAGAGATATCCCTTTCCCAAGGCCCCAAATGAAAGTGTCTCAAAAGGTTTATCTGAGAGTATTATTTAGGTTTCTCTTGCCCCTGGGACATTTTGTCCTGGTTGGGAAACTAGTCACTGTGGGTTTGAGAGAATGATGTTCATTCATGTCTCACTCTTTGTGACCCCTTTTGAGGTTTTCTTGGCAAAGATACTGGAGTGATAGGCCATTTCCTTCTCATTTTACAGGTGAGGAAACTGAGACACAGGGTTAAGTGACTTGCCCAGGGTCACACAGCTAGTAAGTGTTTGAGGCTGGATTTGAACTTCCTGATTCTAAGCTCAGTGCTCTATCCACCTAGCCACCCTGGCTACTGGATTTGAAACACCCACAAATAAAAGGTTATGCAGGCCTTGAGTGGAAAGCAGAGGTAGCTGTCTTCACTCATCTCAACACATCGACCAGATTTTAGGAATTGAGAAACCTCTGAAACTCTTAGGTGTGGAGTGAAACAAATAGGGATTTATAGATGACATGCAGTAATAATTCATATTCATATAGTGCTTGGATAGGTAACAGGCAGATCTATATTAAGTTCTGGAACTGTTGGCTATCATTGATCTCAGGTAATGAGAGTGACAGTAGATTTCCTTCCTCTTCAATATGCCAGGTAATCAAAGTGGAGGTCTAGTGACTTCCCAGGTTGAGCTTACTACAAAATTAGGGGTGTCTCACTGTTACAGCAGAGGCTAGGAAGGGGTGTCAAAACCCTCTATGTTGCAGCAACATCAGCTGTGGGGTAAAGGGCTTATTTTTATACCTTGATCTCACTCGATTGTGGTTCAATGGCTTTAAATGTTAGGTTTTTAAGCCCCAGTTCACTTTAGCCAGTTTCTATGCAGGTGCAGCTTTAAAATAATGGGTTTGTTCAAATCTAGCTATCAGTGGGCCTAGGAATTCTTGCCCAGAATGTGCATGTTGTAAAATGATCCTGACTTTTGCAAGGGATTCACAGGGACTCATCATTCCAGAGCTAAAAGAGACCTCAGAAGCCGTTCTAGTCTGACTCCGTGTTTTACAGACGAGCGGACCTAGGGACCTACACATTAGAGGTGCAATTTGACCCCAAATCTTTTGACTCTTTCCACTGAACCACAGTGTTTATTTTCTGTTTTCATGGCTTTGCTTTAAAAAAGAAAAAGTTTATAGGGAGGAAGTGATTTAGGATTTGGGGAGCTAGGTAGCGAAGTGGATAGAACCCACCCTGGGCTTGGAGTCAGGTTTGTCTTCCTGAGTTCAAATCCAGCCTCAGACGCTTACTGTCTGTGTGATCCTGGGCAAGTCACTTAACTCTATTTGCCTGAGTTCCCTCATCTATAAAATGAGCTGAAGAAGGAAATGGCAAACCACTCCAGTATTTTCCCCCCCCAAAAAAAACCCAAATGGGGTTATGCCAAGAATTGGACACAGCTGAAACCATTGGACAGCAAAAACAATTTAGGATTGAGCATAAATACTTTAGAACCACGTGAGAGAGGAGCCCGTGGAGTCTGCAGCATCAATTTCCTTTCCTCAGGTTCGTTGAGTTAATTAACACCTTTCTTTTTCAAAACCACTTTCACATGTGTGACCTTTCATCTCACAGCCTTCCTGTGATGCAGGTAGGGCAGGTGGAGGCATCCCATTTTATTGTTGAACAAATGGAGCTAGAGAGATTAAGGGGTTTGGCTGTGGTTGCCCAGCCAAGACTAAAGACCAGGTTTCTCACTCTTAGTTTGGTGGTCCCTCTACTAAACTATGCTGCCCTGGTTGGTCATATAGTCACAGAGGTCAAAGTCGTGAGGGTAAATAAAGATGGAAGGGGAGGAGGGGAGAACATCCTAGGCATATGAGACAGCCTATACAAAGACCTGGAGGTGGGAGGTTGAGTAGCATAAGGGAATACTTATTCTAACATATATTGAGGGAATAACGTTTGGCGTGGTCTGGTGTGGAACTGGCAAGTAAGCAGCTTTGGTTGGAAGAGTATGGGAAGGGGGAAAATCATCTCCACTTGGTTTTGAGCTTTTTAATTGTCTTTTTCTCCAATCTACCTGAGCTTTTTTATTGTTTATTTGTTGATTCAATCTACCTGAGATTTTTTATTGTCTTATCTGTTGCTACAGTCTAAGATGTATGTGTGTTTTATATTGATGGAGCAAATTGACATATCTGTCTCTGTCTGAGGTATATTTGTGCAGATATTATATTTAATCGTTACAGGGGTTAGACGTGTGGTTTCATTGATACAAGGGACTCCTGGAAGAGGAAACCCTTCCGGTGTGAGTCAGCCCCTTCTCTTTGATTTATAATCTTAGAGATTTGTTTGGAACACTGAAAAGATAAGTAAGTGACTTGCCCAGGTCCCCAGAACCACTATGTGATAAAGCTTCCAGGGGTGGGGAACCTGCGGCCTTGAGGCCACAGGTCCTTGGGTGTGGCCTTTTGACTGAGTCCAAGTTTTACAGAACAAATCCTTTTATGAAGGGGATTTGTTCCGGGAAGTTTGGATTCCATCATAGGGCTGCACTTGAGGACCTAGAGGGCCACATGTGGCCTCGAGGCCATAGATTCCCCACCCCTGCTTAGACTCAAACCCAGGTGTTCCAGGCTTTGAGGCCAGCTCTTTATCCAAGATGCTGCCTCCTCTGTTTACTTAGGATCACAATTCAAATACTGCTGTCAGACCAAAGCAAAGTAGTTGACAAGAAAAAAAGAAAAAGCGTTGAGTTGTGAGCCACGTGGAAATGTTTTCCTAAAACTCAATATTCTACGAGTAAATATTCATTAAAAAAATGTTGTAATGCATGACTAGTTTTTATGTGATTTTAGACATATCCTCTGACAATTTAGGAATCATGGGCTTCCTTGCCAAACTGTAGTCAGATGAGACAGGAGGTTGGGTAGAACAAAGATACTCAGCTACTTTTTTTAGATACAGTACATACAACCAAAACCTCACTTACCTGTCAGCCACATATCTTAGAACTCACCTGCAGATGGTAATGATGAGAATAATTGTATGCACTT